TTGTTGTTGTCGTCCTTGATTGTCATCAAGTACGACTCATAGTGACACTATGAACAAAAGACTTGAAGCCTTTCTATAACAATTGTCATTTCTCAAAGTTCATAGAGTTTCCAGAGGTATGCTGTTTAGGAAGTGGATGCCACTTCTCCTTCCAAAGCAATATAAAATATTTAAAAAAAAAAAATCTTTGATTCGGTATTATATGTAAAACAACAGTTCAGAAAAAGAGGTACATTACAAAGAGGACTAGGGTGGAGAGGGAGGTAATTATACAACAATCAATGAATATTTTTTAAAAAGAAAGTGAACTTGGGAAGGGGGAAGGAGGAAAATGTGCAACAATGAATGAAAATCCTTTTCTGTAAACTTTCATAAAAATCTCAGTAAAACAAAAAAATATGCAGTATTAAAGCAAAGAAAACTTTTCTAGTCATAAGCATTTTAGAGTTTGAAGGAGAATTTAAAATCATTTATTCATGTATCTAGAAATATTTTTAAATAAAAGATAAAGGAGCATTCATATTGTTAATAATTGTTACTGTTGCTTTATAATATTTGTTAGTGTCTTTAAACCAAGTCATCCTTTGCTCTTCTCATTCCCTCATGGTTAACTTCTATTCCATTCAGCAAGTATGTGAGCTTTCCCTTAAAATTATATCCCCAAATCAACTTCTTGGTCACCACATAGGAGTAAAAGACAAAGCACCAGAATCTGTGCTGGTTTCAGTCTGAAATCTGGTGGAAACAAACTGCTGCATCTTTCTACTGTGAAGTAGTTAGTGGGTTCAAACTGCTAACCTTTCAGTTAGCATCGAGCTGCCAAACCACAGCTCTGCCATGGTTTCTTACACAGAACCTGCTTATTTGTTAGATGGATGGATGGATCTGTGAATGGACAAGTATTTGAAAGAGAGCAAAAAAATGTCTTTTTAAGTGAGAACATAATTTATAATGAAAAGATAAAGGGACCCTTTTTGGTGTGTGTGGTTTTGGTTAACGTGTACATGGCAAATTCGTTTTCCCCTTGCTTCTTCCCTTGGTTTTGTTTCCACCTACTCTTCTTTCTCCTCTTCCTGGCTTCTGAGCTTTGGTTTGGAACAAATGCTATCCTTCTTGCCTCACATGTTTAGTTGTTTGTGCACTTTATAGAGCCATTAGCTATTTAACTAGAAAGTAATCGTTGGGGATTAGTTCAGTTCCACATTTGAAGGGTGTCTAACTGCCATCGTCTTTTTTTTTTTTTTTTTTTAATTATTTTATACTGACTTATTTACAGAGTTCTTTGTTTTTTACACCGGATCTTTCTCATTTCCTTCACACACACACACACACACACCGCCCCCCGCATCAAATTGTGTGACACTATGATTAATGCTCCCTCACCACCACCACCCCCCCCACCGCCCATCCTCACCCCTTTGCTTCTCCCCTCCCCCACTTGGATTCTCATACTCATTCTACAATAACAGTTTTATTCTAAGTATTTGTCATTATGGGAGCAAGTTAGTTCACTTAGCATAATGCTGTCCAGTCCCTCCCAAGTTAGGTAGTAATTTACAAAATCATTACTCCTGCTTGCTTCATAGTATTCCATCTTGTGAATGTACCATAATTTCTCTATCCATTCTATTTTGGTTAGACATCTGGGTTGTTTACATGTTCTTGTGATGATGAATAACTGCTGTGAATATTAGTGTATTAGTGTTTGTGTTTCAGTTCTTTTTCTCTCAGGGTATATTCCAAGCTCTGGTTGTTGGTGCATATATCTGAATGATAGTGGTATTCACTGGACTTCCTTTTATGCATATGGATATTATCCTGTCACTCACAATATTGTACTTCAAGATGGATCTAGCAATGACTTTTTTAACTATAAAAGCAACTCCATTTTTTCTCACCTTTTCATCTCCAGAGTAATATATGAGTATCCGACGCAGAATGCCCCATGCCAGTCCATCTCATCTCGCCAGTGCTTAGTATGTCAATATTTATGCATTCCATTTCTTCCTCAGCAATATCTAATTTTCCTACATTCATGGTCCTCACATTCCATGTCCCAATCACTAGTGTCTGCTTACAACTATTCCTCTTCCTTTGTATTTCCATACTTGAAAGGTCAACCTCAGTTGTCCTTTCTGTTACCTACATACGTTCTGTTGTACATAAGGTTTTCAGAGGCCTGCTATTTCAGAAGTGGATGGCCAATCCTTCTTCCTAGTCTGTCTTAATCTGAATGTTCAGATTTAGAGAAGTATCAGCAATCTGTGTTATGCGGATGACACAACCCTGCTTGCTGAAACTGAGGAGGACCTGAAGCACTTGCTGCAGAGGGTCAAGGACTGTAGCCTCCAATATGGATTGAGTCTCAATGTCAAGAAGACAAAGATTCTCACCACTGGGCCAATTGGCAACATCAGGATGGATGGTGAAGAGATTAACATTATTCACAGCTTTAGTTTGCTTGGCTCCACAAGTCAATACTCTTGGCACCAGTAGCCGGGAAATTAAAAGGCGCATTGCCATGGGAAAGTCTGCTGTTAGGGACCTCTCCAAAGTACTGAAGAGCAATGGTGTTTCTCTAGAGACTAAGGTGCGTCTGATACAGGCCATGGTCTTTACAATCACCTGTTACGCATCAGAGAGTTGGGCAGTGACCAAGGAAGATAGAAGGAGAATTGATGCCTTTGA